ACTACATCTCATGATGAATGAAACCAAGTCTTTACTACATGCAAGATTTCAAAGGAGCTTGGCGACACCTTTCAAAGCACTACAGGATTCATCTGGCAGCTTGTTACCCATTCTCTTCATGAGCTAAACATACTGCTTGCACACTGCACCTAGCACGTGTATTAATCGACATGCAATAGCATAAGATCAACACATGATTATCATTCCCCACATATGAAAAAGGAATGATTGCAATTGGGGCATATTAAGTCAGATATTTTGACTTTGCAACAAAACAGACCAAAACAGTCTGTCACAGGACATATTTCTGGAGTTTGCAACTTCAGTCCCACTGACCACGATACAGACATGAGCACCACTGTGTAGAGGCTCCAGCTTTTTTACTGCCCCTGTACACTAAAAAAAACACAAAAAAACAAACCCACAAAAAAACCCACAAAACAAAAAAAAAAAAATAATCAACCAACCAAGAAATCTTTTTGCTATTCTAGAAAATCCAGACAGTAAACTTTGACTCCAAATCCGAATGCAGAAAATGCTGGACTCTGCAATGCTTCCTGGTCAGGATGCTGCTTTGTCCTCTTTTCTAAACTTCATATGGATCAAGCATCAACAGGGGTTAAATCAAAAAAACATTCTCCCCACCACTCAGTGTTAAACTGCTCTTACTCAGATTGTGAGACGGTCATTGACATATATGTATATACTGTATATACGCAGACCTTTTTTTTTTTTTCTTCTCTTTTCCTTGAGAAGAACACCTCTCAGAGGGGAGTCATGACCACTGGCTTACTGTGCATTACAGAATGAATTACATGTAACTTCTTTTACTGACATCTTCACTTAAATATACTTCCATACTTTCTTAAGCAAGTGAAAACATCTCCAGAACTGTGTGGCTGGCTAATTTGACTGTTAAGATGAGACACTTCAGCTGTCCCTACTACAGCAAACATTTAAATAATGTATACAAAGAGGAAGGTGTCAGCCAAGGAGACAGAGACCCACCCGAGGCAGGGTGCTCAGCAGGAGCAGTTCGGGAACTGAGACGTGGATTCAGCTCCTCAGGCAAAGTAGGGAAGTGAACCTGGCTCTCCCACATTCCTTGCAAGTGCCAGAGCCATCAGACTACAGGCAAGATAAGAGTACAAATAATGCAGCTTTATCCTCCCCGATGTTTTTTAAAAAAACAAAACCCCACAACCCTTCCAGTCTCATTTTCACTTGTTAAAGATGACTATAAAACAGTTTCAAGACAGACCAAATATTTCATTCAATTCAAATTAATGTTTGGGTTTTCTTGACTGTTTAGTGAGAAGAATAACAAAGAAAAAGTCATTTTAGCTGGATCCGAGCTTAATTTTTTTAGAGGTAAACACTCTTTCAGAAAATGGCATACACAATTACAGCCAAAGGTAAGCAGCCTAACGCTAATTAAATGAACCTATTTGGGGCAAAACTGGTAAAAATTATTTGATCATTGTCATGAGACAGTTTTCCATAAGTTTTGTAAAGAATTGCAAAAGTATATTGCTAAAATATGTCCCAGCTGTTAAACCAAGACTATTTTAAGCCGTAATTTTCAAGCTATTGACTACTGAAATCCAGAATAGGCTTTTGTTTTAAAAGTACAAAAAATCGGAGCACTCGGTGCAAAAACTGCTCTAACATACGGAGGGAAAAATATATCTTTATGACACTAGTGAATGCAAACTAGCAGACATAACTCAAAAAAAAAAAAATCCAACATGCTTTCAGGCAGCTATAACAGTGAACTAGTAACCCTCTAAACCTTCAAAAAGGGATTGTCTAACCAACCCTATATGTCATTATAAAGCAGAGGGGAAAGGGTAAGAGGTGATAGATGGAAGGGAGGCAAGTGTGCAGTAATAGCTAAACAGAGCACACAGTTGCAAGTTTAAGTAAAGATTATGGTAATATAATATTTCTTACGTTAAAATCCACTGAAAACTAGTCTTATACAAGTTATAGGAAAGACAAATACTTCACTTTCCAAGATGTTGTTCAACATAAAAAAATTCACAATTTGTTTTGAATTATCACACATGAATGAATATAGGGACCTTAAAAATCAAGCTATTCTTATCACACACACATGAAAAAGAAACAATACTACCATGATTAAACTACGTATCCCACTGGTTTAGAAGTTCCCCCATTTCAGTGGAAAAAAACCTGCTAAAAGCTTCAGTTGTTCTTTCTTCTTGTTTTATGTGCTTTAAACTCTAGATTTCACTTGAAAGCAATCTTTAGGCCACAGAAACTCTTCATTTTTTGCACTAACTGGTTGAAACCAAACAATCTGATAGTTGTGAACTGACAGATATTGATGATGCCAGTAGTAAATGCAAAATAAACAGCCAAAGTTGTCCAGAAAACAAATGCACATCTGCCACATGCAAAAGAACATTTTTTTGTGAGGCCTGTTTGAAAGTGTACAGTAGAACAGATCGATTAGTAGTAGTGACATAAAATAATTTACATAAAGCAGATTGTCTCTATTTAGGGAAAAAACTTCAGTCATGATGATGTGTTAAACACTATGGTCTACAATGTGCAAAATCCCGAACTAAACTATCTATAATACTGTTTTCTATCTAAACCTAAGCTAATATATGTATATCATCACACCTATTTTCATAAAGCCAATTATTTTAACTATACATTATAGTGGCAACCCCATAGCACAATATGCAATATGCTCATTTTGAAGATGTTAACTCCTACAAATTAGAAACCAGCCTCAAAAGACAGGATTTACAAAATCCTCCCATAGTTTTCACTGTGAATGGTGGTAAAATGCAGGGAGATACATCATCTGCATTCCTTAATTCAGTCTTTCTGAGCCAAAAAAAAAAAATATCTCTAAGAATTCATTGTATATAGGGTTCTAAAAATTAAAAGAGAACAAATTCCAGTAAAAAGGGAAGGAAAAAAAGATACAAGCTCAAAAGCCACATAAACCAGCAACTATTCCCTACAACCTAAGAGTTTGCCAGGACTTCTTTCTGTAATACATAGTTCTTAAGAAACTTTGATAGGAGGATATTCTACTCTACATGGATAGACAATTTTAAATAAATGTATGAAATTCAGTTGTCCCCCTGTATTTCCTGTTATAAGCCTTAGCGATGCATTATGTGTACTGAAATAGATCCCACTCCACACTAACCACCTGTGACCCCATGCCACCAGCTGTTCTGCAAACACAATTCTTGCTCAGGACATTTGCAGTCTAGGTTTAAAATGAACCAGAATGGGTGGAAACACCAAACAGAGAGAGAGGCCATAGCAGACAAGGTAACAGAAAGACAGTAAGCATTATTCTAAACTCATCACCTGTCTAGCCTTTCACCGTTGTATACTTTGCCTTTCACAGGATCATTAAGGATGCTGTACCTGTCACAATGTTGCTTCATATAGAGTAACAGAGTTGCACATTCAAAAGTACAAATGTTTAAAAAAAACTTTTGAGAGGCTTAGTTTATATTTCGTTTTACTTAATTCTCAATCGATTCTTACATTTGTCTGCTCTGGAGATCCTCTATGGAATAAATTCCTCAACATTTGTTAAAGTTGGAAGACACTAGTAACACTTGAAGTACCAAAGTAGATAGCCATCCAACCGTATAAAAGCTTTCAGCACCTTGCCTGTTGGTCTTACACCTAGAAGATAGCACCCATTTAAGAGTCCCCAGAAGAATTTCTGCTGCTTTTAGTATACAAAGGAAGAGATGCAAGGTTTTGGTTGGTTTTTTTTTCTCCACAAAACCAATCTCCATAATAAATAATAACTAGAACACCCTGTCCAGTATTTGTACAAACACAAGCTTCCTAGTAGCAGTGTGGTATCTTGGGCACTGCTGATAAAGTCTTCCAGACTTCACTACCCCACACATGCACTCCATGAACATCCTCTTGAGTGCATGTCTGTGCTTTAAGTGAAACGTTGCACTACTCAAGATAACTTTTAGAAGAAAAGAACTGCACTCACTCTCTTGAAAAGCAACACACACATACGTAGCAGGTCATACAGACAACAACACATAAGGAAAGCCTGAGAATTATGCTTATGTTATGAGGGCTTGAAAGACTTTCTCTGCTTGGCATTATAGGCATAGCATGACAGCTCATGCTAAATTATTGAAATCTCTCAAAGATACCCCCCAGAAACAAGACACGGCTGCTTCCGACACACAAGCACCAGAGAGAAAGGATCCAGGAAAGAGGACTTTTTTCTACACTGCAAAGCCAAACACTACTAAACATAGCAATCATAATTAGAATCACCATTAATGCAGAAGAGGCCTGTCACCTTTCATTGAAGTAATGTATGTTTCTACACTTTTAGTAGACTGCACGTGCTCAGACAACTTTAAGGGTGACCAACTTCTGAAATCCAGTGAGTACTGTCACACAGCCAGTCCCTACCATGAGCAGCTGTCTCGGTGTATATCTAGAAGTTACAGAAGACATTTTTAAGCAAAATTAGCGCATCCCAAGAAGAAAACGGAAGCAGCAGTACACGAAAGTTAAATTTCAGTTTTTCCACCTGCACCTCTCCTGAGCGACTCTGCTCAAGAGGGACGGGACTGGAACTTCACCCCGGGCAGGAAGAGATGCGATGTTTACGCCGCGGCCGAAGCCGCCGGCGGGCGCCTGTCCCCCTCGTGTCCCGCGTTCTCGGGGGAAACGCTTTCTAGGATTTCCTGGGCTTTTCGGCCCCGGCGCCCGACTAGCCAGGCTGTGCCGGAGGAGCCCGCCCTCCAGTCCCCGCACAGACCCAGCGCGCACCCTGCGAGGAGCAGCGGGCTCTCCGTCTCCGGGGCTGCCCAGGCCATCTTCGCTCGGGATGGCAGCGGCCACATGGTCACCGCTCCCTCCGCGGGCCCGGCTCCCGAGGCCTCCCGGCGGCGCGGGCCC